TATTTTTTTCTATTTGATAATTTTTCAGTCAGTAGTCAGATGGATAGAGAAATTTCCCGATATATATTTTTGTTTCCCAAAACAACAACAACTATAGCGATATATTCACTATTCATCACCTTATAATTCATTTTTTTTCGTTCGATTGTTTGTTCATATATTCATTCAATCAGATCTAAACAATCGTTCAGATGGTCAATTGGTATAGTGAGTGACCGGTGTGGTGGTGGTGGTGGTTCATAATTTCATAAATTGTTGATTGTTCCAAATTTATTTTTTTCCGATTCATTGTGTGTGTGTGACAACTTCGGATCTATCTGTTTCATTTTTCTCTTTTTTTTTTTGTTTTGTTTTGTTACAAACAGGTCAAAGGTCGAAATTTATTTTAAGTACCGTTTTTTTCTCTTTCTCTATTGCTTCTATCTGAAATACCCGATTTTGTTTTCGGTTTAGTTTGAATCATCATTTTAGTTTCCGATTTTCGTTTTTTGTTCTTTATTGGCTTTGTTTTGTTTGATTATAATCATCATCATCATCATCATCATATATCAAGTATATCGCACATTTATTGTTGTTCAAGATGCAAGATGATCACCTGCTTATAATCATGATTGAAGAAATGAAATAGGAAAAAAAATTCAGTTCAATGATTGGAATGAAGATGCCAAGCCTTCCAAGTCAAGCCCATGTTATTTGATTGTTTGAAATAAGGAAAAAAAAGAAGGTTAGTTATTGGTTTTACTGTTAGTTTCTTTTGGTGAGGAAACTAGATCCTTATGGAAATTTAACACAGCAAATATCAGTGTGTATATCGAAGTGTATGACAGGAAAAACATCCTTTGAATACGAATAAAGGTCATCTACATTCATTTTTTTCAATAGAAAATGTTTGAAAAAAATGGTTTTCCTATGAAAATAACCGACCGATTATATAATATAACCCGGTTGTATAAATAATATAATTATCTCATGTAAAAAAATATGATTGACAGTTAATTTTTATCACTATCTTCATTCATAATGATATTTTTATGATCAGAATGTATGCAAACAAAATAAAAAATTTCTCCTTGTTGTCATCATTGAAACCAAGAATAATAATAATGATAATAATAAAAATTATATTTAAAAGCAATAGATAATTTGTTGCCGCTGCTGTTGTTGACAATATCACATGACAATCTGATTGATTGATAATCTCTATGGTTAATTTTATTATTATTAATAATCATCTTTTAAAAATATAACAATTTAATGTTATAAATTTTTTATAAAATCTCACTTTGCAATAGGTTTTATTGTGTTTCATATTTTACTATATTGCTTATTATTATTATTATATTCTACCTACCTAAATTTTGTTTATCGGATTCTTATTATTCTTATCCAGAATTGTTTTTTCATTATTATTATTATTATTATTCGAGCTACCATTTTTTATATCAACAAATAATTCATTGATGATCAATTAGAATTATTGATGGCATTTAAAAAAAAAGATACCAGAAAAATTTTCTTTGTTTGTGTATTATGTGTGTGTAGGTGTGTTTCAAGTGAAAATTCTAAAAATAAATCCATATATTACGTAATTAACATTGAGAATAAATAGACAAGATGTACTACTGTATTGAATGAATGCTTGAAAAAAAGATAACGATATGTGTGTGTGTGTGTGCAATGTATTTTCAGTTAATCTTTACTGGATTTATTGAAATTATATTAAAATTTTCAAAAAAAAATTCAAAATAAGCGGTTTAATCTGTGATAATTTTCGATTATTATTTTTGTCATCGTTTTTCCATAATGATTTTTTGTGTGTGAAAACAAAACAAAAAAACCCTAAAGGAAATCAATAAAATATGTTGAATAAATTGGAATGAAAATGAAGAGAAACTTCCCAAAAAAATATAATATACATCAATAACGCTTGAAGAAAATGATTATTGATTATTTCTATTTCTTTTGAATTCATCAGACAAATAAATACAGAAAAGAAATACATTTAATAACAAAGTCAACAATAAATGAACTAATAATGACAAACAAAAAAAAATGAATAAATGAAAAAAAACAGAATTATTCAATCAATGATGACGTAAGCAATGTGGAAAATCAAAAATCTTTATTATTCTATTCTAATGTGTGTTTATGAAGCATATGCGCTGTTGTTGTTCCGGTTATTTTGTATGGGCAAAAATAATCGGTACAGAGTTGACGTAGGAAAAACAAACACACGCAACGCAAATATACGAAAAGGGTATCCGACCTTTTTTTTCTCTCATTCTACCTATGTGTTTGTGTTTGTGTAGAATGAAATTCTTTTTTTCCGAAAGAATTCATAACAACACTACTGTTGTTGATGCTACTATCATTTTGGATTTTTTTTCCTCTCTCTCTCTCATCAGGTCAGTCGGTCAGTGGGCAATAGAAACATCCAAAATTCACATGCCAAAGAAAAGATGCCGACATACTTCAAATAACCCACTGATAATCAGTGCATCGTAGTTCGGATGTAAATGTAAAATTAGAAGAAAAAAAAATTTTGAGTTTGCGTAACAATATTCTTGGGTTAGTTTTTCTTTTGGATTCTTTTTATTTATTTTTTAAAATAAAAAAAATTGATAAATAAATGATGAAATTTTGTATTTTTTTTTAACTGAATTCTTGAAACAAACTACAACTTTCTCTCTCGAATTACAATAGAATAATTGATTTGTTTGAACAAAAATGAAATTCAAGATCAACAATTAAAAATTTACCGAATTTATTGAAAGATTTCATAGAATTCTACGTTGATAAATGATGATGATTTGATGAAAATAATTAAAAGCTGATAATCAAAAATTTAAAAAATAAACTTTTATTTCATTTTTTTTTGAGAATATTCAGATCACATTACACAACAAATCAATCAATCAGTCATTTCTTGATGATGATGATGATTATCACATGATTTCATAATTTTTTGGTCTTCAAAAAACATGTGGAACGTAAACGAAAAAAAAACTATGAAACAAAAACAAACCGTAACAAAAACAAATTAATCAATCAATCAATCAATCGATAAGTTGATTCGATGATATACACTTTTTTTCATCGTGAACAACACATATAACATTCACCATATACAGAATGAAGATTCAAAACAAACAAAATTTATTCACAACATTTAACGAATGATAACAAACAGAAAACCAAATTGATAAATTACAATTTAAAATTCATTTGTCGTTGTCGTTTGTTGTTGACGAATCGAGATCAACATGCCGAATGAATTGGTTTTGAATATGGACATTGGTCAACAACAGCAGGCAATAAACCAAGAGTGTAGATAAAGGCGGACCATAAATTCAAATTGGGTCGGCCAAATTTTTTTTTTGCTACTATTTTTTATTTCATATGAATGAAAATGACAATGAAAATTTCAAGCGAAAAACAACAGAAAAAAATTGATAATTCTTTGAAATCAATTAACAACAACAACAACAAAAAATGACAATTAAATCAAGGTAAATTTATTGATGACATTGAATTTGGATTGATTGATTAATCGATTGATTGATGTGATGAGAAAAGCAAAAAAAGGGATCAAATGATTGGATCAACATTGAAAAACAATTGATTTGTTTGTTTGTTTTCATCACCGGTTATTATAAAACACTTTCACTTGATCTTTGTTTTCTTTTTACGATGACAACGATGAAATCAACAACAACAACAACAACAAAATTGATAATAATCACTAACAACAACAACAACAACGACGACGAAGATAAAAATAAAATTTTCTATTTTTAACAAAAATATATTTTCTATATATAGGTTGTCTTTATTCTTTCTTGAATTGAAAAAAGAAATTTTCATTCTATTACAGAATATAATTCAAGAATCAAAATGAAACAAGAATCTTCTGTAGAATCTTCTGTGTAGAATGGGATTTCTTAAGGCAAAAACACAAATGTGTGTGTGTGTCTTTCACTTTTTGTATTGCTCTGTCTCTGTACGTCGTGTTCCAATTATTATTACATTGAGAAAAAATTTGTTTTTTTTTGGATTTTCTTTTTTTCTTTTTCTTTTTCGTTTATGGTCCTGTTATATTTTTCTGTTTTTGGTTGAAATTGGGTTGCTGCTGCTGCTGCTTTTTGATGATGATTTCTGGTGACGTGTGTGTGTGTTGGTTGGTTATGGGTTTATGCATACTCTCTGTTGCATTGCCTTGTTGGGTATTATCGATCTTTTTTTTTTCTTTGCTATCTCACTATATATCTTTCTCTCATATTATCATTCTTTCTGTCATATTTTTTTTCTGTGGATAATTTATATTTTTTCTTTTCTAGTTTTTCTGTTATTGATAATCATCATAATAATCATAATAAATGTTTAGTAAGAACAAAAACAACAAAATAACATATAGTGACAAATGTGTATTTGCTTTCTATATATATGTTATATTCCAAATGATATCATGGCGCCTGTCTTATTTTTGTTTTCATTTTTGTTTTTTCTTCTTTTTTTTCTGGATACAAAGATTCAATTTGAATGGTTTGATGTTGGCTGTAGTTGCTGGTTTTTTTTGATAATATTAATATGACATTCTTTGAATGATTTTTACCACTACTTTCATTTTTTTTTTTGGCTATATAATATTTATTGGGATTCTTGTTTGTATCATATGATCCATTCATTGAAAAAATGGGAAAAACCTTGTTTTCTCATGTTTTTCTTTTTCATTCACAGACGAATTGAATGTTTTCGTTGTTGAGAAGATTCTGCGTAATCAATTCGATAAGAATTTAGTTAGTTTTTTTGAAAGATTTGAAAAACTTTGCGAAAAAAAACTGATTTTTAAAGTCGAAAAAAAAGAAAACAAGATAAAATCAATCGATCGATTAAAATAATGTTAAAGATAAATAAATCAATTGCATTTTGCCTTGGATAGTATTGTATTGATGATAATTTTAGCAATCGATTGATGGATTCAATGAAAATTATCATCAATTTTGATTGAGATTGTATACAAACAAACATCTATGTTGATTAATTTCTTTTTGGTTGGTTGGTTGTTTCCACTTGAAAATTTTCGAACTGTTTGCCTTGTGTCTATGCTACATCATCATAAATAACGGCGTTGTTGTTGTTGTTGTTGCAGTGTTTTCACAATATATAAAAAAAACCTCACATCACATATGATTTATTTCACATCATAGTCAAAAATCTTCTTTACGTTGATAGTTTTCTACAAATCATGTTTGCAACGGAAAAATATCCATTGAATCAATTGAATATTGATGAAATTGTTACCAGTATTGATGATGGTTTGAAAAAATTATTTGAATATTGTCATGTTACCTTGGAAGAATGTCCCGATCTAACAAAACCACCATTTAATCTTGCTGCATCGGGTTTATGTGGACATCCATCAATAGCTGATATTGGTTCAGTTTCTAATCTTGCACCTGTACCGGATAGGAAAAAAATCTATACATTTGAACATATTGCTCATATTGTTACCAATGGTATCGATATGAATAATTGTTTTATGATTGGTGCTGGTGCTGGACCATTTCATAAAGTTGGAAATAATTGTGAATTAATGCCCAATATTTTAATGCATAAAAATGGTGATCATTTTGAAGTGGCCAATAATAATACCTATTATGCTGATGTTTGTATATTACAATATTGTTTTATTGTTTTTAAATTCTGTTACAAAAAAAAAACATATTGTTTTCTTTTCATTTTCATTTTCTTTTTATTTTTTTTTTAGATTTTTGAAAATAATTATCGTCTTTTAAAATGTGAACATACAGAATTTGGTCTAATGAGTAATCTATTCATATCGGAAGGTAAACCGGGTAAAGTTATTAAAATTGTTGTTGAAAAACGTTTGGGCAAAGAAAATTTTACCGAATCAATTCAAAAAATTTTACGAGAAAAATTTCCAAAAATACCGATTAGTTTGGGTGGTGTATTTATTATCGAAAAAGGAAAAGCTAAACTACATATTATGCCAGATTTTTCACCAGAACCATTACCATCATTAGAATCAGTTGATAAATGGTTACGTTATTTTGATATGGATCCACCATTAATCTGTTTGACAACATTTCATTCCGAAGATCCAGGATTAGATTTACGTATGGAACATACACATTGTTTTAGTGATCATAATCAAGGTGGTCATTATCATTATGATACAACACCGGATATTATTCGTATGACTGCTTATTTAAATGTTGCTGAAGCCATCTATCGTATTGATCGACCAACTAAAAAATAATAAATAATAAAAATTTCATTCAACAGATGGCGATAAATGAATGAATGGTCCAAATAAAAAAATAATCCAAAAAACAAAGAATTTTCATCAAAACAAAAAAATTCTTTCCAAATTGATAAATTATTATTAACGTAGTAAAAGAAAAATTTCATTTCCAAATAAAGTATATTTAATTTAAAAAAAAAATTGTTTTAAAAATTTACATTATATAAATGTAGATTAGAATATTTTTAAAGAAGATTCTAAAAGAAAATCCGATTATTTATTTATTTTAGTTTTGGGTTTAATCCAAATAGAGAAATAGACAAATAGATGTCTATGATGTTAACGAGGATGATGATGATGTGAAACAACATTGAATTGACAGCAATGAATTGACAGCAATGAATTCCACCAGAAAAAATATTCTTGAATTTGAAAAAAAAACAATTGTTTTAAAAGAAAAATTTGAAAAGAAAAATTGTGAACATCATCGTTTATCATTTAAAAATAGAAATAATCATCATCATCATTATTGAAATTGATTGATTTCTTCTCGAATTGTTATTTCTTCATTCAAAGAATTTAAAGAATTTTTTTTTTGTTGAAAATGTTTATTGTTTTTAAAAGAATTTAAAATTCTTTATCAAGAATAATGAATTGCAATTTTGACAGTGAAAACTATTGTTTTATTCATTCAGTCATTACGAAATGATTGAAAATGAAGAATGCGAAAATCCGTATATATCATATTACCTTTTGTTTTCAATTTCTTTAAGTAAGTTGAATCCAATTGCAAATGAATGAATTTTTGTTTTTCTCTTGGATATCCAATTTCTATTCTGATTTAAAATTCATTCAAATTCTTTTCTGAGGGTTGAACTTGAAACTGTTTTTTTTGTCATTCTATCTCTTCGTCATTTGATTGGCCATTATTTTATACCTTTGGTTGTTTGTCATCATCATCATCATTCTTTTTCATTGATTATTCGTGAAGGAGAAAAAAGGAGAATAATAAAACAGAAGATACCTATACCTTTTTATTCTACTTTATTCTTAATATACTCATTATATTTATGATCTTGATGGAACAGGAAAAAAAATGAATGAATGAAAGAAAGAAAAAACATTTTCGGTTCAATTGATTCGATCCAATTTTGCATTATCATTATCATCAAGATCATCAGCACTAATTCAACATAGAAAATTCATTGTTCAATTCATTCATCCATATCATTCAATGTGGAAAAAAAAAGGATAATAAACATACACACAAATGAATGAATGAATGAATGAACAATTCTTTCCAACAAAATACATACAAAAGTTTAGATGGATTTCCCTACACCAAAAAACAAATGTAATTAATCGAAAGTAAAATATATATCGATCATAATATTATATATTGAAAATTGTTCATTTAAATAAATGATGATAAAATATATCATCAGGTAAATGTGATATTCTTTTCAACCAAAAAAAAAGAAAGAATTCAAATTTTTCTTCATCCACACACAACACACGCTATCTCTTTGACAATGTTTGATAATATTTCATTTTGTTTGTTTGTTTGTTTTCTTAGTAAAAAATACTGAAAAAAATAATCTGGTTTCATCTAACCATCTATCAATCACATGCTGTTTTATATATCTCGTTCTTTTCTTTNTTTTTGTTTTTCTCTTGGATATCCAATTTCTATTCTGATTTAAAATTCATTCAAATTCTTTTCTGAGGGTTGAACTTGAAACTGTTTTTTTTGTCATTCTATCTCTTCGTCATTTGATTGGCCATTATTTTATACCTTTGGTTGTTTGCCATCATCATCATCTTCATGCTTTTTCATTGATTATTCGTGAAGGAGAAAAAAAGAGAATAATAATAAAACAGAAGATACCTATACCTTTTTTGCCTACTTTATTCTTGAAATACTCATTATATTTATGATCTTGATGGAACAGGAAAAAAAATGAATGAAAGAAAGAAAAAAAACATTTTCGGTTCAATTGATTCGATCCAATTTTGCATTATCATCATCAACACTAATTCAACACAGAAAATTCATTGTTCAATTCATTCATCCATATCATTCAATGTGGAAAAAAAAGGATGAACAATTCTTTTCAACAAAAGTTTAGATGGATTTCCCATACACCAAAAAACAAATGTAATTAATCGAAAGAATAAAATATATATCGATCATAATATTATATGGAAAATTGTTCATTTAAATAAATGATAAAGAATATATCATCAGGTAAATGTGATATTCTTTTCAATGTAAAAAGAAAGAAAGAATTCAAATTTTTCTTCTTTCACACACACACACACACGCTATCTCTTTGACAATGTTTGATAATATTTCATTTTGTTTGTTTGTTTGTTTTCTTAGTAAAAAATACTGAAAAAAATAATCTGGTTTCATCTAACCATCTATCAATCACATGCTGTTTATATATCTCGTTCTTTTCTTTTCTTTTTTGTTTTGCCATTCTTATTACGATTTTTTTTACGTTTGTTTGTTTGTTTTGTTTTGGAAAAATTCTGCTGACATGTTTTTTTTTGTTCCATTGAACATATTTGTGTGACATTTTTTTTCCATTTCATTTTATATAACAATAGTACATTCCGAATCTAATAACAATGAAAAAATGATAACCAAAATGACAATTCATTACTTTATTGATTGTTAGTTAGAAGAATATCATGATGATAATGATGATAATTTTTTTTAAAGATAACAAACAATGATAAACAACAACAACAAAATCAAAACATATGACAAGCAAGATTCACATACAAATAAATGAAAATAATAATAATAATAATAATTTTGCTGAAGAATGAACTAAAGAAATTCTTGTTATTGTTTTCTTCTTTTTTTTCAGTTTTTTTTCAATATAACCGAAATGCGGTTTTTTCTTTCTTTTTTTTCGTTTTGTTTCCATTACAATGAACATTTTCACATTGATGATCATGATCATGATGATCATTTTCATTATTGACCATCTTCTTTTTTTTTCTCATTTCTTTTTCTTTTTCATTCATTTCAATTCAATGTTTTGTCAGATGGTATAAAAGGTCATCGATATAATTGATTTTCTTTTGTTTTTTTCTTGCTGAATGTTTTGTTTTTATTTATAATAAAGATTAATAACCATCAAATAGGTCTATTGTAAAGATTTTTTTTTTGGTGCAAACAAAAAAACTTATAACCATCATCATTATCAGAACAGAATCGAAGAAATTCCATAGAAAACACAAGGTATAAAGCATTGTTTTTCGTTTTCATAAGAATTTGATGGACACATTTTTTTGTAAAAAAAATTTAACCAGAAAAAAAATTTAAATTATCATTCCAATGTGGTTTCAAAGTCATTGTTGTTCAAAACTATTTAACTGTTAATCAAATGAAACATTCCAACGACGGCACAACAGAATATTCTGATTCTCTGAATGAACATATCTATTTACGTGTGTCCATTTTTAATTATCCTTCACTATTATTCTGGTCATAATTTATTCTTGTTTATTCTATAATTTTTTGCCATTTTTTATGTTGAATAAACTGAAACAATGGGATAATTCAATTTGTTTATTTTTTTGGCCAGGGAAAGCAACAACATCAACAATAATTTTGACAAAAGAAAGATTAGCCATCGGCTATTTGTTCAAAAAAATACAGCAGATTAAATGTAAGAATAATTCTCTCTTTAGTGTGATGAATTTTTCATTTTTTTTTCTGAATCATTTCATTTGTTTCATTACACCCACACACAAACATTTTCTTCTTCAATGATTTTGAATGTTTTTCGCCAACAACAAAATTCTGTCCATTCTGTTTTTACTATGTTTCTTTTCACCATGAAAAGAATTTATATCCAAAAAAAAACTTTTTACTTTTGCCGGAAATTTTCTCAAATCCAATCATTTTGTTTGGAATTTTCTCCATTTACAGGAAAATTCTCTTTTGCATATAATTTTCTCTTTAAAATGCTTTAGATGAAATGAAATAAATAAATACATCCGAAACCCTAAAGGCATTCATATTATTAACCGGTACCTTGATGCGTTGTGTTTTAATGTTTTTTTTCTAATCCAAAAATGTCGAATACTTTTACATTTTTTTCTGGTTCTAATATATTTCCATTCATCGAAAAACATGAAAAAAGAAGAAAAATTATATAATTTTAATGGAGAATTTTTCCAAGAAAGCAACAAAAAAAAATTATGGGAAATTTTTTTCCACTTTTCAATCATTTTTTGTCATCAGACAACTTTGAACAGAAAAAGTTAACATTTTTCAAATGAAAATGTAATATTCATTTTTTTCCATATATTTTCATTAGTATCGAAAAAAAGAAGAATTTCCAATCGGATTCTTTTCCTTTCATTTCATTTGACTGTTTGTTTGTTTGTTTCAAAACAAAACAAAAAAATGATGAAAAAGGAAATGACAAACAAGTTCAAAACCAAAGTGAAAAAATGTATTATTTTTTCACCCAAAAAAATCACATGACATAAATGTAAAGAATGTAAATAACCTTTTTTTTCAGGCAAAAAAAAAGTGTTATGATAGGAAGTTATGATAATGTTTTCATTTTCAGTTTTCTGTGAAAAAAAAATGATTTTCAAATGTGAATTTATTTTGTGATCATAAATAAAACATACACTTTTTCGCTATCCAACTCTCACTTTTTCCAATTTTTTTAACGGTTGAATGTCTCTCTCTATATTCTTTATTCTCAACTTTTTTTTCCCAAAATCTGATGTCTATACTTGTTTGTCAAATTAGTTTCTTTCTTTCTTTTTTACTTTCTATTCTTACATATATCACATTCCATATATAAATGAATTACAAATTTCATCAACCATACCTTCAACAACTCGTCTCTCTCTCCATCTTCAAACAGCTCTTTCTTTACATTTTTTTTCACATCTTTTATCCTAAATGATACATAGTGTGCCTACATAGGATATTTACTGAATCAAAAATCCTTCAAAAAAAGCTACAGTCAATTTTAATCAATGTGAATGATAATCATTAACATTGAAATTAAACTTTTTTTACAGTTTCCTATTACAAACTAATTAGAAAT